GTCAGCGGGAGGTGGGAACGGGGGGGGGAGGCGTGGGTGGATCACCACCAGCGGACACGGAAGGATGGAGAGTGGTGTACTGTACTATGGCCAGCACACCGAAGCGAAACGCTTTGAGGGTATCATTTTCGACTCGAACTGCGACAATGTGCCTCACTACACTGAAAATTACTTTATGTAACATCAACAGCTAGAGCACGGTTTAAGGGGGAGGGAGGGGGGGAGTGGAAGAACGTTTCAGAACGAAAGGTGGTCGGAGACTTCACCAGATTATTCGACTTCCGGCGAAAATCTACAATACATTCCCCCAAATTTTCATGTGGTTTGTTTACCTTTTTTTGAAGACAAAACAAGAAAATTTGACAGAAGTCGAGATCGGCAGGCCAAGTTCGACGAGCAGGATGAGGTTATGTGACAACAACACGCCCGTGATTGCTGACGTGTGAACCGAGGGTGAATGCACCGAAGTAGCCAACGTAACCACAGTTACAACGAATAATTCAAATTCATGATTAAATATTTCGAAGCTTACCAATTCATGAACTGATGATACACATTGTTTTCATAGATTATCAATGCTCAGGCTCGGGCAATAGGAAATACCACTTTATGCATTCGGTACAGCCGAGGGCGCAGCACATTTAGGAGCTGCTCAGGCCAGAGGCAACTTTTCATTTCACTGACTTGAACATGCTTTAGTGGTAACACGGCTTACCAACCAACACACGTTTGTTTTCGTGGGCTTTGGTGCCAGTAATCTCCAGCCAGAGTCGTTTATCTCTGAACTGAAAACAGCAACCGATTTTTGTTAAATTCTCGCTAGAGAAAGGTTAAGAGTTCAACTCACCATAAAACAAAGGTAAGGCAGTTAACAGCGCCAATTCTAGTCTTCTGATCCAGCTGAGATATAAAACCTTACTGCTAAGATCCAAATAGACCTTTCCCTAAGTGGTTGAGGTTAGAAATGGTGTAGATGCTGCGAACTCCCCTGGAACTTATTGATCGTTTCGGCAGTTATTGTATCCGATTGCGGATTTTGGTGCCCTGTAGGACGCGTCTATAAAGTTTCTCGTCTTTCCTCTGCACAGCATGGGGATCGAGCACCTGCCGGACGACGCGCTGGTCGCCGTGATGCAGTTCCTGTCCGTGCGGGACGTCCTCGCCTGCCGCCTCGTGTGCCAGAGGCTGCGCGACCTGGTCGCGTACAGGGACGTATGGCGGCACATCGTGCTCTACAGGAGCTTCTACACTGTAAAATCAAGATGTTCTATGAGTAACCGCCTTAGTCGCTTGCACCCAAAAAGAGAGCGCCTTGAGGCGGTTACTCATAGCACGCCTAAGTCGCTTCCCCGTAAGAACACCTTCGCAGCAGTGGGCCATTGGAATGGCATGGCATTCAATGGGGAGGTCATCACAAATATTTACAAATACACTGGACAAGCTGTTTAGCCACAGCGCCTCTTGGGCTTATTGGACCAGAGGCTTTACGAGGGGCGTGCTCTCACAGCACGCCTTGGTTAGTGGCCGCAGTCCAGAACAGCAGGGCACAGAATGTGCTGTGGGAGCACATCTTTGTTTTTACATGTCAACTCCGGTGTGCTGCAGAAGCACGCCCTGGGCTTAGATCATGCTGCCAAGGTGTTCTTACGGGGAAGCGACTTAGGCGTGCTATGAGTAACCGCCTCAAGGCGCTCTCTTTTTGGGTGCAAGCGACTAAGGCGGTTACTCATAGAACATCTTGATTTTACAGTGTACGTGGTGGAGGCACCGTGGTTGTGCGCGACGCTGCGTCTGGCGCCGTGCCTCAAGAAGATGCACCTCCGGCTCCCATGGGACGCGTGCAACGCACTGTACGTCACCAGGTGCGCCGTCGCAGAGCTGAAACTGACCGTGGATGACGGTGTGGGTGCCATGCAAGCCGCCTACGTCATCGACCACCAGAGCGCGCTCGGGCGGCTGAACCGGATTGAAGTAGTTTTAAGTTTTCTGTGTTCTCGAGTGTCCACGCTGCTGGAAGTCTTAGCGTCGACGTCTGGCCTGAAGGAACTCAAAGTACGGTCCGAAAGGAATGACGAGGACCCCCCCTTTTTCCATAGCACGGTGTGCACGGCGTCATCCCTGGTGTGTTTCGAATGCGATCCGGATTTTGAGAACTTCTGCAACAAGATGATCACTGGCCACAGGGCGACGCTTGCGGATATCAAACTCTATTTCAGGCGCAGTCGTTATCCGATGCCAAGCGCCTCACTTGTCGCCCTCGTAGCGGGGCTGCCCAACCTGAGTCGGCTCCAATGCCCCCTGATCCCCGGGCTCGCCGCCCTCGTGGACTGTGCCTCGCTTCGGTCCCTGACGCTGCACGTCGAGACATCCCAGCCCCGGCAGCAACTCCTCCGGGAGGCGGCAGACTGCCTCCGCCGCGCCACCCAGCTGCGCCAGGTGTGGCTGCGCCAGGTGTGTGGGCACAGAGATGACCGAGATCCCCCCGTCGAGCGGGGCGTGGAGCTACTGTTGCAGTCGCTGGTGTCCTCCGGCAAGTCGGGCTTGGAGGACCTGACGATCACAGCCTGCAGCGAATTCGAAGACGATGAAGACGACAGCGACAGCGTGCACTACACAGAAGACTTTTGCGACATCAACTTCGAGGTGCTCCTCGGGGCGCTGCCGTCGCTGCCGGCCCTGCGGCGCCTTGAGATGGACGTGCCGTCGGAGAAGCTGCTGCCCTGCCTCACCCCGGCGGTAGCCCCGGCCCTGCGCAGCGTGGTGCTGCACCAAAGGCTTACACCCGAGTCTGAACCATTTCCACCCTGCCTCCACGACTGGGTGCACAGCGACGAGGTCAGGTGTGCCTTGACGCTCAACCCCCTGCTTCACATTAAGCTACGTGCTTCTTATCCGTCTTTCGTTGCAATGATGGAAGAGTGTCCAATGCCCTTGCACGAAGAAGTGCGGGAGGTCGACAACGCCGGCGTGTTCGCGCATAACCCAGGAGATTACTGCTCAGTCGATCATAACCAGTACAAGGATGACGACTGCGTCTGGGTCCACCTTCCTCTATGATTTTTGTCTTTGGAAACATCTCCTTTCTCCATCTCACCTAGCTTCTATTGTAAATTGCTCATATTTTGTTTTGTAATATATTTTGTAATATAACCACCTGTTAAATAGATCATTGTGCGTGTAAAATTTCCCCTGCTGTTCTGGGATAGAGTAGGGGGGAAAGCGGGGGAGGAGGAAGAAGTGTGGAGGGGCCGAAAGTATTGAACCGCCCCACCAAGTTCATTATGCAGTCCGCTCTAGTAGCCATTTTCGGCGCGAGACTTTTAAACTGCGCGCTAAAACAGCAGCGCGCCACGGTGGTGGCGTTGGAAATAGTGGCTGGGAACATTGTAAAATTAAGACATTTTGTGAACAAGAGAACGATCAGCGGGCGGGACAGCGCACTGTTGTAGAGCCTCTTACTCCACTCGGCCAGAGCAGCATGTGTTGTTCGTATGGACCCGCTGGATGAATCTGATAATACGGGCATTGGTGGGAGCGCGCAATGAGACCACTGTGAAGAATAGTCGTAGGTTTACGGGAAAATTTTTCCATATGATGTGTGTCGTAAAATTACAAATTGAAAGTGGGATTTCACAAGCACTTCGTTTTCACTTGGCACTGATCGACCAGCAAGAATGAGCTGTCGCAAATTTACAGCATATTTTGTAAATGAGAATTTACACAAAAAATGTTGTAAATTGAAGAGGGTATTTTTCACAGTGACGTGTGCGAGAATGAAAGGTCACATCCCTTCAAGTGTGTGGTGACACTCGCACACTTTTGCTGTGGACATGGCCGCCGCGCACGGATCAGACTGTTTTGGGGTGACGCAAGGAGGAGGGCTCTCTCGAGCTGTGCCTCATTAGGGGGAATGAACTCGAGCCGCGCACGGCGCGAGGCGAAGGCGCAGAGGAGCAGTGGGCGAGGCCCGAGGGGCGACCGCGGACCGCGCGGGGTTAACCGCGAGCAAGGCATCATACGAGCGCGAACCACGAGGGAACCGGGGGGGCAAACGAGTTGTTGGTAGCTTTACTACACGCCGCGCAGGATATATAACCGCGAGGCTACCGCGGCGGCGCAAGGCGCGCGGGCACCTCATCAACAGCCCTATACACACACGGGCGAGAGCGCGTCGGCGAGCGGCGGCTCTGGGGCGCCTGCTGGGTAGGCAAGAAAAGCGCGCCGGTGCGTCGCACCCAGGAGCGTTGCCTACCTCGCAGGCGCCCGCCGTGGTGGGCTGGGGTGGGGAGGCACTCTCACTCCTCTGCCCCAAGTCGCATCACGTACCTCCGGGTCGGGTACGTGTGTGTGTGTGTGTGTGTGTGTGTGTGT